CAAGAGAATGACACGTGGTCTGAAACAGGAAAATATCAACGTCTCAGTGTCTCAATTTTAAAGTGGCCTAATATGCTATACATTACGATTACAGAGTTCAACTAGCATCCATTCCGTCAAGCTAGCTCATCACTGCACATACCTGCCTCTATCCCACTTTTCTACCTCACTCCCTTCAAAAAATGAATTTTTGCTTTAAATGTTGGAAACTAAACAACCATATCACACTTTGTCATTATCATGTCTTTATCTCTTAGGCAGCTCCGCCGCTCCACAAAGCGTTAGAGATCCGAGAAACTGTTTTAGATCCTGACCATCCCCTTGTAGCTCATTCGCTTCATCATCTGGCCGAGCTTTACGCCCACTGGGGCAATTTCAGGTTAGAAATTTTAGTGGGATTTTAGTGTTCTTTATAGTTTATGTTATGACAAAAGAAAACCTTATCTTAAAGTGGAATAACTTGGTTTGACAATGAAAACGCCAGATTATTTGTAATATTTTTGTAATATAATCGAAGAATGATGTAATTTTGTTATTTTTACTGTAGTGCTGCGGAAGCATTTTACAAACAGGCAATTGAAAATACTCAGAACATATATGGACTTGAGCACCATTCTCTCGTAAAAGTACGTATACTAATATTAATTTTAAGACAGTTCACGCTAAACCCGAAGAGCAGCCTTCAACCGCAGGCTACGCACTCCTGTTTTGTTGCGATTTTGTTGATTTTGTTGAAAGCCCAGTAGGAAAACGGGAGAAAAGAAATAAAAGAGCAAAGAGACACCTGCGGAGGAGGCTAACCCGAATGGCACGGAGGGCGCAGTTCTAGGCTTAATTACATATTCGTTAGAAAATAAAGTCTTACTCTCACCATGATGCTATTGTATTCATTTGAATTTCATAACTTGATGACATAAAAGAAAGATTGGTATCTTAATAACCACAGCGGAGTTTAAATTCTACCATTTATTGTTTACTCTTTAGGACCTTGAAGGTTTGTCATTATTGTACAAGAAAAACGAAAAGTAAGTACGCATCTAATAGACCCTTTCTTGCAGCTTTGATGTAATCTTTTCCCATCCACGTGTCACTCTATTGAGACTAAGAGGTTTTGTTTGAGTCGCTGTCATATTTATGCGTTGTCTCATGCAACCGTTAAAAAATGACATAATGCTCTAGGGAATGAGGCGTGGTCTGAAATGGGAAAACACTGAAAGGGTAAATTCCTTTGTCTCTTCGTTGACACAACGAGTTCTTTGTCGTTCAGGGTTATCCTAGATTTTGTGTAGAATATTCATATGTTCCAGTAAAGGTCCGTTGAATTTAAAAGTGTTTGCATTGTTGAAGTTGTGCATTTTTTACTTTACTATTGGTATTTGCGAATATTGTGACGCTAAAATGGGCCAACCCAGAGTACGAATTCGAAGTAGTCTATTGATCTTACGACGGTCCAGTCACGTACATTTCTGTCTTTGTTACATTTGATGTATTTCTCCCTTCTTTGTTTACAGGTACAGCTTAGCAGAAGTTCATCACAAACGAGCGATGTCCATTCGACGAAAAACTGGAGCAATGGTAATGTTTAGTATATTACAAAAGTGCATATTAATAAAAGAGGAAATGCAATTCCAGGCTACGAGATAAAGGCTTGCAATACTTTGGCAGTCGTGTTGGTGATTTTGCAATGGTTGATTTATTCACGAAAATAAAATCGTTCGATTTTCTCATTCGGTTTTCTCATTCATGCCACTTTGTTTTATGGCTAAAGACTCATTGGTACTGGCTTAGCCTCGTTTTATAAAAACGTGCTAAACTTGAACAAATGAGTCTCGTGGTCTTCAAAAACAGCGGTATGCATCAAATGCGAAACTGATGTATTCCACGACTATAAAAGGAGCCTATTAGCCGTTCCGAAGTTGAGTAAGAGAGTGGGTCATTTTGAAGCGCTGTCACATTTTGCATGAGCAGTCTATTTATTAAGTCAGCTTGTTTTTCTGGAACTGTGTTTATATTGTTATCAATGGTACTGAATTTTTTCTTTCAAGGCTGAGAACCAGAATCTGAAGCAAAAGATGCTGCAGGTTGAAGAACTTGTCCTTGGTCCTGCAAGTAGTGAAGTTGCAAAATCCCTGAATGAATTAGGAGTTTTACTCTACCTTCAAAATAACCACGAGTAAGTGAATCAATTCCTGCTGTATTTGTCCCTTCGATTTCGCACCCCTTAAAAGATCTTTCATAGGGAAGCATAGATTGCGTAGCGGTGAGAGCGCTCGCCTYTCACCAAGGTGACCGGGATTTGATTCTCGTACTCGGCGGCGCATGTGAGTAGAGTTGTTCGTTGGTTCTTTCCTTTACCTCAAAGATTTTTTTCCAGTTTCTCCTGTTTCCCTCTATTCGCAAAATTCAACTTCTAAATTATAATTCGACCTATCGGTAGCCTTATCAAGTGGGTTGCAAAACCTGTTAGGCTTTTCCCTCCACCATGGAGTGGTAAATCCCATTAGATTTTTTAATATCCATTTTTTGTCTTTCTCCTAAACTGAAAGGTCTTTTTAAATGCCGTTATTAATTTCAGAGCTGCCCAGTCATTTCTTCAGCGTGCTCTTGATATGCGGGAAGAAGTTCTAGGTAAAGATCACCCAGATGTTGCTCAGTCGCTTCATAACCTTGCTGCTCTGCACAACGATCTTAAAATGTGAGTGTTCATGATTTTGTCAAATACTGGTCGTGTTGATATGAAAGTTATGGGGGATTACAGTCAAAATTGTTTTTAAAGTCAAAATCTTATATCTTGAAAATGTATTCAAATTTGACCAAATTTCGACTGTAGTCCCCCCTAAGGACTAAGGCAGATAGTTACTGTTAAAAGACTAAAAAATCGTGTTTTTCCCCCCTCTCTCCAGGGGTGAAAAAGCAGAACCATTATATGAAAGAGCTTTGGAGATTCGTATGAAGGTAAAATTATGAAGTAATTAATCCCTTATATGTATTATCCTCTAGTAGTAAAAAGGCGTTTTCTGTCATTTTGTGTCATATAATTATTAAGTTGTTTTTGTCGCTTGGAATTTTTTCAATAAAAAGTTGCTTAAGAAAATTTGGGGCGTCCGAGGAAATCTCTACTTTCTCAAAACACCGAGGGCTCATGTTCAGTAGCAGCATTGCTTTTTAGTCGAATGCCAGTTATTTGATTGTGTAGTTCTATCTTCATAGGCACAACAATATTCCCCTTCACAGTTACCTACGCCATATTGAAAGGTAACCGTGTCTGTGTCTGTAAAGCGAGAAAAGAAAGGCAGTGACCTTGCAATGATAGAGACATGTGAATAATTGTCCAAAGGTGTTGTCCAAAGGTCTCTATTATTGCAAGGTCACAACTATTTTCTCTTCGATGCACAGGCACAGTTACCTTTCAAAATGGCGCTGGGAAATGCGAAGAGGACTAGTAAAGAAAGAGCAATGCCAAATCTGTTTAGAAAAGAATCTCAGAATCTCTCGTAAATAAATCCCAATCTCACATTCCCTCTGCTTCTGATATATGTATTGCTTTCTTTGTCTTAAAGACCCTACCACCGCACCATGCGAGTCTAGCATCCACAGTAAAACATTTGGCCGTTTTGTACAGAAAACTGGTAAGTCGTCATATCATGCGGTAGGGCTTCTACTAGACCATACAACTTCAGCGATCGGAAAAACGCGAACTATTTAGCAATTCTGAATTGCTCAACATTGTTGAAGCATACTATCTCTTGTATTCTTTTCATAGGGCAAGTATGCTAAAGCTGAACCACTTTACAGGTAATATTAAGTTATGAGTTTGTCTTACCTAAAAGCAGTCTCCCTATTTTTTGTTGGTCTTTATGCTTTTTTATTTTTTTTTACCGACGGCAAGAGTTATGACCAAGGCATAGAAACCACCGGTGCATTTTTGGACTTGAACTTTAGCACGTGAAATTAGTAGGGATTTGGGTACGAGAATCATGCTACTGGTGTGACTAGACTTGTTACTACAAAAAGACATTATTCATTGTGGTGCTATTCTCACTGAATAAATTATCACTAAGCAGTATAAATTAAGTCGACACACATGACTCATTGCATAACGTCGTTTGGACCTTCGAAGTACGAATTTTGCTCGCTGTCCCCACCACCGCCACCAGCCAGAGGCCAACATTCTAGTGCTCTATGCATGCTGATGAAACACAGCGGACGGGACTTGAGGCGTTTATGCTGACGGCAGGTATTGTGGGACAAAGTTTAGGTTTGTTGTATTCCATTTGTTTCGTTTTGCCGGTGCAAAGACAATTTCAAAGATATCATTTGTACTGAGAGCTCACGTGGCGTAATAATTTGAGTTAAATTGGCCTGGGTAGGCAATATGAGTAGGGCTAGCGGCCTGGAGAGCCACGAGTATGTTGCGTAATAATTTGAGTTAGATTGGCCTTGGGACCTAATATGAGTAGAGCTAACGGCCTAGAGAGCCGCGAGTATGTCGCGTAATTGAGTTAGGTTGGCCTGGAGAGCCAATGCTGCCTGGAGAGCCGCGAGCAGAGTGTTTTGTATCCAATACTTGTGTTGTACTGTAGTAAGTTAAAGGGCTCGGAGAGCTAGGGAACTCGGCTAGCTCATGCACGAGAAGACTCGAGAATCTATAATTGTGTGGGTTTGGAGTCCAGGGAACTCGTCCAGCTCGAACAAGCTCAAAAGACTTAAGAATGTTTGTGTAGGCCTGGAGTTCACGAGGGAACTCGGCTAGCTCACGAGAAAAGTTGAGAATATTTGTGTAGGCCTGGAGTTCAAGGAACTCGGCTAGCTTGCGAGAAAACTTGGAAATATTTGTGTGCCTGGAGTTCAAGGAACTCGGCAAGACTTCGATATTCATACTCGAAATACAGAATTTTCGGGTTCAAATGGGCTAGAATTCTGGAGTCCATCCCAGAGCATTTAATTTACGGGCCATGAGTTGATGCGTTTTTGTAAACATTTCATTCCAAAACTGTGTAAACCACGAGGGAATTCGAATAGGTTAAGTGTCGCGATTAGGGGATTAAGAAGTTCATGAGGGATTTTCAGACTGTGCACTCTGTGACCGCCAATACTTCCACGTGTTTTCGTGCCCCTTTTGGTTATTTGTTCACGGTTCCTGTCGCGGTTCCAAGGCTGTCGCACTCCACAGCAAGAAAACGCTAGTGTTCAACCAGTGCATGGTCTTGAAATATTTTTATTAGACAAAACACGGTGAAAACTACAATAAACGATTACAATAATGAGATGAGGAATAGGAATCACTTAGGCAGGATAAGGTACAAACATAATAAAATTCTGAGGTAAAACCTTACATCTTTCGAGCGTAAAAAACGCCACAGAATAGGTTGCTATCAATAGACGTCACTTCCGGTAATAGCTCTTTTTTGATGGCTTGTAGAATCCTGGAGGTTGTTTTGATCTCTTGTTTTCTGGTTTGATGCGTGAAAATAGTCAAATACAATAGTTTGAGGACTTATTTTGATATGTTTTGACTTAGCATCCGCTAGTTGCCCCCCAGTCAACTCCAAAAAGTCACGTGATTGATAGTAAGCAATACAGAACAATGTTAAGACTTATGGTGGCTCGACTGGGTTTTGTTTATGGCGTACCTTCGAAGTTTAAAGGGGAACTGCGTCGCTGCCAATAAATTAATTTCAAATAAATTATTATGACATGTCTAGAGATAGATTCAAGTTTTAGGTGATATACAATTTATCATGATCGGAGTTACCATAGCAATACATTGACATCATGTCATTTTTTTATATATTCCATTTTTGGCGAAATTGTTTTAAAAATTGTTTGACAGAACTTAAAGTTCATATGTTTGTCTTCAAGTTAACGAAGTTTCGAAGATTTGTATGGAAGCGTTTCGAAATAATTGCCGTCGGAACTTTTGGGCAACAAAGATGTAAACAATCCAAAGCAATTAGTTCATGTGACCGAAACCTTTCCTTTCTGGACTTGGGAAAACCTTTTTTGTTCATAGTGTTGTGTTACTATTCCACTAGTCCTTCTGAGAAATGGAAAGAAATCGCGTTATTCGATTTCGAGAAATATGATTTCAAGCCTAATTAGTAAAGTGGTACCTTTTGATATCTTGTCAAAGATTTCACTTGTCTTTACTAAAAACGGTCAAACTCAATAATCCGATAAATTTTTTTTTAACTTCCAAGTCAGTTACTTTAGATAACGCATTTATATACCCTAAAGTTTCAAGTTCATTGAAATAATTTAAAACCGTCAAATAATATTGTATTGTCGGGGACAAGGAGCGGATCTTGCCCCATAACTTAATCATACTGCGACGTGATAATGGCTTCAGTGAGAATATATTACAATGCTTTCCCATTATAGATCACATGTCATTCCCACATGTCATTGTTTGAAATATATCCATATTCATGTGTCTTAATAGACTGCGCAACCTCAGTAAACAAAGAAATTATGTCTGTGATGGAATTTTACGGCCTTGCAGTGACCAAAGGAAGTAAAGGAACTGTTCGCAGTCTACTTTTCTTTTGGTTACTTGATCTTGATATTATCTTTTGGATTAAAACATCAAAAAATACATATATCACAAAAAATACATATATCACAAGATACGAAACCGACTCAGTCATTTCATTTTCACATGTCAGACAAGCGCTTGAAGCTCGTGAGAAGGTGCTTGGAGAAAACCATCCAAGTGTTGGAACCGCACTGAATAACCTGGCTGTTGTGTTATGTCTTCAGGTATTTATTAAATCTGCCTATCAATCGCACGCGTGGAATGGCACAATTTGCCTTCGCGACAAAGTAGGGTTTTGGTGGATGTCAGTAAAGTGTTCACATGACATTGTCGTAAAACACGAAGTTTTCAAGGGCACGTGCCTCCAGCAAGCATATATACATAAATACATAAACTTTGTTATTTCTGTGACAGGCTCCTTGTGTATCGCAGGGAGTATACTAATCTGGGACACCATACCAAACCAACTTCGTCACGATGACTGCGCGCACTATTGAGAAGAACTATATAAGAATAAGATGCTTTGGTTAGAGTGAAGGCATTTAAGCCGTGAAATAAAAAAATACTAGGCAGCTTGTAATAGAAGAATACTCAGACACATAAGAAAACAATTGAATTAGGGTGTACTTATGTAAGGGTTGAATGACTTCACTGTAATTCCTACTCAGCTTGAATTTGGAAATGCCTCATGTCTAACGTCGAACTTCGTGGGAGCCAAACCTAATGACCTCAAAAAATACCGCCTCGTTAGCCATTGTTTAAATTAGGTTCGGCTCATATGAAGTTCGACGTTTGACCGGACAAGTTCCAATTCTGGCAGGACATTGTCCGATGTTGGTCCGGCCGTTATTTTAAGCCCTGATTAGATCTGTGCCGCCATCTCACAGAGATTATAACCCGTGATATATTTCGTTTAGAACAAACAATCTGAGGCACTACCTTTGTATGAACGCGCCCTGCGAATTTATGAAGAAAGACTGGGTACGAATCACCCTCGAGTTGCAGAAGCTCTTGTCAACCTTGCCAAGTTGTATTATGATCAGGTTAGTTTACTGTTTGATTAATAATTTGTTTGTATGAGAAAAAAAAACAACAGATATTGCAAATTTAGATCTAGTGGGAACAAATAAACAACTACAAAACCCAAAAATCTATTGAATAGCTTTTTCATCAACAACAAAGCTTCTTGAAGTGTAAGCTTACTTCACATCTAATTCCGAATGGTGCAAAGCCTTCAACAACCTAGAAAATAACCCGGCTTAATTTTGATAGTTTTGCATGTTTAATCTGCATGTCATACGCCGAAAAGACAATTAACTGTAAACTCAATAAGTTTTCCTACTCTTTCGAAATAGTGTTCATCCAATTTCTAACAACACCAAACAAGTTATTTTTTGTTTCCGTTATTTCGTAATTTTCGACGTTCTTGCTATTCTTTCTTTCTTGCAATTTTGCTATACACTGCCTTTTAAAACTATATTCTCTTCAGTTGAGTGCATAAATATAGTGATAATAGCCCACCTCTTTCCCCTGCGGCACTGAACCTTTTCTCTGCTTCTCCCAGTGCCCGAATTGTTAATTTTAATGGTTAATAATTTGCGATGTACTGTCTAATCTAGAATGACATTACATACCTTGGATAAAATCAAGGAGTAAACCCAACTGTTTTCCAGCATTGATCAATCCCTTTGCTACTCTTAATGCTTGAATTTTTAATTCTAATATTTACTAATTTGCAATGTATGATCTACAACGAACTTTCATGACCCTTGACTGACCATTTTTAACGTATTTTTGCCATCGACGTTTAAAGGGTTTGCACGAGACAGCTGTTCGTTTTTATAAACAAGCAAGTGATATACAGAACCGAGAGTCTCACCTTTCACCACGTACACGCCCAAACTCTGTGGGAGCGTTTGACAGCACTTGCAAACGTCCATCATCGTTTTGTCGCCCTGACGCCATGTCTGTAGGATAGGGTACTCCATCTTTAAAATATACTTACGACAACAATGACGCCTTTTACTGGTACTTCTTCATTAGTTGAGCAGCCGGCACTTGATTCTACTCTTTTGCGTGCTATACATTTCTAGATAAGTGGCTTCATGTCTTACTTATCTTGATTGTATATTCACTTCTTCCCCGTTGCTCCGCCCCCCTCTTGCTCGTCGAAGTTCCGTACAACGTTTTGACGTCTTCAAATGGGAGCGACTCTTCTTTTCCTATATAACTGGCTTTTCTGGTATAATTTATTTTTATGAATTAAATTAATTTATATTAGTTCACTTCTTTAAACAATTGAAATAGTATATGTCAATTACTTCAGGATTTGATTAAAACAAAATATTACAAATATTTCAGCTCAAAACTTTAAAAATTATCAAATAAAGAGGGTTTAAAGTGAACCTTTAAAAAATCTAAACTATACTGACGTAAAATACTAATATGCTACTGAAGCATAAATGAATAACAAATTTTATTCAATTTTTTAAAAGCGACATTTTGGAAAATCTTGTAATTTTTGCAATATAAATTTTATGTATATACATAATTGATTGTAAAGTATTTATTCTCATAAACTAACTTAAAAATTACCACTTTACGGCGGCACTCAAGTAGCCTCTGATGGTAAATAAATTTCTTTTCGATACTTTATAAAACACGATATATTCGACTTGTGTATTTTTTAATTAAGTAGAAAAAATTTAAAATTTCATAAATTATATTTTACGAATCTTTAGATTAAAGAGCCCTTGGACTCACGATTAGTGCCCGTTTGCTCCCTAGTTTACTTATCAAACGACAGCGCATATAAATGTTTTAGTAGACTTTCATTCTCGAGTATAGCCAATTCCAGATTGAAGAACCCTCAGGTCCTGTCCACACGTATCCGGAAATTTTTGTATCCGGAAATTTTTTTTTGCGGATACGAAAATGTTCGTATCCACACGCAGGGTATTCAAATCGTTTTCGAATCGTTTTCACTGTCCACACGTATCCGGAAATTTATTGATCCGCCCTGATGCACGCTAGTGCCTAGTCCCTTTGACGGATAGTTTTTCTAATTGAGCATGCGCAAAGTCGTGTTTACGTCAGCATATTCGAAAATTTGAGGATACGACCGTCCACACGTATCTGTATTCGGAGCGTATTCGAAAATTTCCACTCTGGAGACCGTTTCGAAAATTTGCGGATACGGGCACAAGAATTTCCGGAGACGTGTGGACTCAACCCGTATCCGCAAAAAAAAAATTTGCGGATACGAAAATTTCCGGATACGTGTGGACGGGGCCTCAGACTCAATAATAGTCCCCGTATGCATCCTGGTTCGCCTATCAAACGACAGCGTATAGAATAGTTTTTACTAGTCTAATAAAAAGATATATATTTTCGTCAGACGTCAAGACGTCAACATGATAGATACCATTTGGAAGTTTTCAAGGAATCGTAAAAACAACAGTGCGTAAAGGCGTGTTTTTACTAGACTTGATTCGGTACTACGATTGCCACCATTAAGTATGTCAAGTACATCTCGAGTAAGACAATTCTTTACGAACTGTCGTTTATTCGTTTTATAGTTCATCGTATCGTAGTTTACATTGAAAGAATATTCAATAAAGATGGTACTATTCTATTAAACGCATTAAAAGTTAGCAATGAAATACCTTTTTGGGTTGATTCTTTTTTATTTTATTTTCATGTTCAAATAGACTACGAAGATAAGATGGCTTCTTGGGACGCAGTGCATTATGGGGTGTCCAGGGAACAAATATTCTTTACTTTCACATCCCCATAATACTTTGCGTCTTTGGGGGGTAACCAGAGGATAAAAACCCACTTATTTTGCTGAAGGCTGATCAGACAGTGTTGACAATACCTTGTTTGGTATCCA